TGGATAATTTCATCGTTTTCTGTTCTTAGCTGTCAGCTTAAAATCTCTAATTCCCATCTCTCTGACATCTTACATCTCTCCATTTCTTTATCAGTCTTCCCCTCTTTTTTTACCCTCTCCAAGCAATATTCTTAACTTGTCTATTACCTTACATTTTTTTTAGATATCCGATTTATTCTAGTCTACAGCTATTTACATAATACAGCTATTTACAAAGACTTTAATTCATTTTTACAGATAAATAATGTGATTGTTGGTAACCAACATGGTTTCCAGTCTAAAAAATCTACCCATACCGCAATTCGTTCCTTTTATCATAATCTCTTAAGTTTAATGGATGCAGGAGAGAGTCCTGTTGGGCTATTTTGTGATCTTATCAAAGCCTCAGACTGTGTCAATCACGAAATTTTAATTTGTAAATTAAAAAATATGAATATTCACGGACGTGCGTTGAATTAGTTAACATCTTATTTAATTGAACGTTTTATTTAACTAGTTTTTCAGTACTTTTATTATTGGAGCGTTAACATACAATCGGTAGACTTCTACATTAGTTCGTCTTCTCCATTTTCCCTCTACTACTTTTAGAAGGGGAATTTTATATTTCTTGATTCCAATCTGTTCTGTATGGTTTTGTTCATAGTCCATGTCTCGGCAGAGTATAGCATTGTTGGTCTAATTATAGTTTTGTATACTCTAGTTTTTGTATAACGAGATATATCTTTGGCCTTAAATATTTTGTTCATAGCCCTAGCACATATATTCCTCTTGGTCAGTCTTAGGTTGATTTTAGTTTATTTCTTGCATATCTGGTCAATAAGGGTACCTAAGTACATATATTCACCCACCTTCTCGAATTCTACAACTGTTCCATCCTCCACTTCTAATTTAAAAGAGCCCCTGGTGTTTATTCCTTTTTTGTTCGAGAATTTGAACTTTGTTTGAGAATGTACTTAAACTTATTATTACTATCTTTCAGTTCCGCTCTAGTCAGTTTAGTTGCCGCTTTTCCAAGTCAGTCTTTTTGCTATACTTGCCAGTTCTTTTCCATGTCTTGCAATGAGAACCACATCATCAGAGTGCGATAAGCATATGTGGTCTTTGTACAAAAAGAGTGCCGGATCTATGTATTCCACTAACAATTACAATTTTTTCTAGTACTATATAGAATAGTAATGTCGACAACGGGTCTTCTTTGGCGAAGACCTTTTTTCACATCGAATTCTTCTGAGACTGTACCATTACATTTCACGGCACAAATAACTTTCCTAATTGCCATTTTTATCTATCTTACTATTTTTTTCTGGTACCTTGAATTCTTTTAGCGTTTCTATTAATTTCTTTCTGTCTGTTGTATCGTAGGCGGCCCTGTAATTAATGAAAAGTAATTGTGCTGAAATATTGTATTCATAGCAATTGATCAGGATTTGTTTTAACATAAAATTTTGATCTTCCTTTGCGAAGTTTTCCCTGGTATTCCCCAGGATCTTCTCCACATATATTTCTAGTCGTTTCTTAATTAGTATGGCGATCACTTTTTATATCATCTCTAACAAGGATATTTTTCTATAGTTTGCGCATTCAGATCTATCTCTATACTTCCTCAAAGTTTCGCAGCTCTATACTGAATTTAAGTTGCACTTTCTTTTTCCGTTTTTTTCTTTTCAATTATTGCATCTCTCATAATAATTCTAACCAAAAAAATGTCCAGAGTCTACGTCTGCCAGTCTGCACGTTTATACATTTGTTATTAAATTGCAGAACTTCTGTTGTATTAAAATGTCGTCTATTTGGTTAGTTTCTAAGGTCCATTTAGAGACTACGTCTCTAGACCAGTAACTCTCGTTCGGAGTTTACGTTGCCAAGAAGTGAATCTACTTAAAATTTCACCATCCTATAAAATTATTAACCATCATATAATCTAATGCCAGTTTAATTAACATTTGAAGGGTTTTCACTCATGTATTTAGTGGCTTTAAACATATAAACATAGTAGCAACACTGAAGATGGAATATTTATTCCGAAAACCTGTGATTTAGCGCGAAAGGGTTCTTGTAAATATACCTTTTATAAAGGATTTTTTTACTAAAAATTTTTATACTATTATACTTTTCTAAGTACTTTAAATAAATATATTGTTAAATATTGCGTTCTGATGTTTTAGTTTTCGGTTTTACCGAAATACTGTTAACTTTATGTATCACAAAGGTTGTAATAAGGAATTCAGCAGTTGACAGCAACACAGATTTTATTTCGTAGACTATATACAAACAAATATTCTATTTACAATATATACAAATCTAGTAGAGGCGGAACGTAGCAAATTTACCACTCTCGGTAGGTTACAAGGATAGAAATATGCGCTGTCGGCGTTCGGTACGCGTTATAGAATAAAATCCTTCTTATCCTCGACCAGCTAAAGGCGAGTAGTACTAGTAAAGTACGAATAGTTTATCTTAGCAGGCTAAGGACTATGTATATTCGAAAACTCTAATCAAAACTCAACGCGCTGGAAGACTCCGTCTCCAGATCGACAAATGCCTTATCAATCAGTAGCAGTATACCTAGTCAGCTCAGCACGCGATAATAAATGTACGTTGTAGCCAAATACTAATCCCCAATATGCAATGTTTGCGAGAATTTATGCCATCATAGTGGTAGGAGAGGTAGCTAGAACGTCGGTCTGTATAACAATGTTTTATTCCATGAAATATTTTTGTCTTATGGACTACCCAAGCTCTGACGTCATAATGGGCGGGGGTTTTAAAAACCTTTCCAAACAAATCTGTTTTACGTGTATTTCTTCCATAAGAAGATGGAAATATTGACTTTTTAATTGTTTAATGAATAAATAAGGACTTTTGGTCATGAACATTCATTCTGTGAGATTAAAATTATTTGTTGTTCGTAAATTTGTGAGATAAGAGTATCAAAGGATTAAGATATTTTCAGTTGTTTTCTAAGCCCCATCCATTGTAACGTCAGACTTAGGTAGTCCATTAATTACCTACGCTCCGGGTTGCCTGTTACTGGTACGTTCAAGAAGTCAACAAAATGATTCGAAAAAGATTAAAGCCATTGCTCAACATGTCGACATTAATAAAAACGCTGTGCGATATGTTGTGCATGAGAAACTAAACATGAGGAAAATATGTGTCAATAGTAGGAGACTCCAAACTCTCCTAGAGTCAAAAATCCTAGAGTCCAAATTCAAGCCAATGGTGATTGTCTTCTTCAATATACGGAGTGTAGTTCACATGAAATGGGTACCAAAAGGTCAGATAGTTAATACTCTCACTATTTTGAGGTTTGATGAAGCCTATATAAAAAAATTTGCAAAACGAGGCCCGAAATATATATAGAGAAGTCCTGAAACCTCCATGACGACAACGCGTCGCTGTCAGGGACTGTTTGGCCAAAGAACAGATTACAGTCATGGAGCACCCGAACTATTCGCTAGATTTAACACCCTGTGACTTCTACCTGTTCCCAAAAATCGAATCTTGCTTGAAAGGAACCCTCTAAGAGTCATTAGAGGACGTCGGGAAAAAGAAAATTATTGAGAATTGCTAAATTAAGATGTTATACTAACAATCTCGGAACTTAATTGTCAGAACTTGTATTTGCGGAATATATCGATTTCCGTGTAGTGAATGCTTTGTATTATTTCTTTTAAGTATGCAACCCAGCACACAATTAACTTATACACCTATTGTTTTTTATTTCAGTCATCTTCTATTTGTCATTCAATATATTTGTAGACTATGAATACTAACCATAATACCTTCGTTGCAAAGGTTTTGACATCTTTCTGAATATTAACATTTAATTAAGCCAGCTATTCATTGTGTAAGTTATTTCTCGCTATGTTTAACCAGACCACCTTTAGTTCTTTATTTCTTTACTCTAAAGCATTTTGTTTATTTTTTGTATGATATTGTATCATTTTGTATCATTTTTCATTATCACCCAATGTTCAGTGACATATATTTGTTCTTTCTCTTCTACCACCGATTTTTCCAGCTTTTTCATGAAAGTTATAGAATAACATGTTTGGAAAATTGATATCTACTTTCTTGACTATCTATATTCTTTCATTGCATTCCTTGTCCATTCCAGTCCATTCCTATCTGATCGCGCATGTTAACCCTAATATAAAGACAATCAGAAAGGCATAAATTAAGCAAAGCTGGTACTAATTCTCGTATTCTTCTTAGCCTTCTATCCATCTCATAGGTGGTCTTCCTCTTGATCGTCTACCTTTGTAAGGTCTTCAATGTTGTATTGTGACGTTCCAACGTTGGTCTTTTTGTCTAGCAGTATGGTCTGACAAGCTCCATTTGAGTTTGGAAATTTTTGTTGTGATATCCTCAACTTTTGGTTTTCATCTTACTCAGTCGTTCCTCTTTTTATCTGACAGCTAACATTGCTCTTTCTTTTGTGGCTAGGTTATTCATATTTTCATTGGTTAGTGTCCAGGTTTGACATCCATATATCATGATATGAAGGGTGCAGTCTTTGAACACTTTGCTCCTCAAGTATTGAGGTATTTTGCGGTTCTGTATCTAACTTTTTTCCTAATCCTTTCAATGCCAGTGTTCCTCTTCGAGTGATTTCCGTACTTTGATTCCCTTTGTCAAGTTTCAGAATTTTTGCAAGGTAGATATTTTCCAGGACTTGTTCTGTCTCACTCTCATTTATAGTTATATGTCTGGGGTCATCTGTGTTTGTCATATTCATTTTTAGACCGACATATTGGGAGTTATCGGCAAACTCATTACTCATAATTAGTAATTCCTTGAATGTGCTCGCTGTAATCACGATGTCGTCGGCGAATCTGAGATGATTTTAACTATCACCTTAGATTCACCACAACGTTAACTGCTATTAACGTTGATGCCATATGTTAACCAATTTGTAGTTTTAAAGATGTCTTCTAGGTCTAGATTATCAGAGATTATTTAGAGATTACAAAATCTTGTTATCTCTAAAGATATACTTACCGGCTTAAACGTTCTTCTTCTCGGACCTTCCTCAGTCTGGAAAAGTCGTCATCATCGTCATCCGTAACGGATCCTCCAATGCTAACTTTATCTGGATCGTCGTTACCTTCATGTGATGCAGCTGGAGCTGATGTAGATATATGTCCGAAGGGATCGTATACGTTGGGGTCTCTGAAACAAAATAAAGTTTGATACACAGAAGTTTTTTCAGAAGACAGAGGTTTTATATTGGACTCACTAACGTGCTTGAACTTCCTAAGATTGTTCTTTTTAATTTCGGAATGTCTGCTTTTATTTCATCCTCGATTGCGAAGTTTAAGGACAGTCGATTTATGATGAAAGTTGAAGATGTATAGTTTGTTTAACAGAAAATGGTTGACTTCAATTAGTACGGTCGTAAATATTATTAAATTTATCTGACTTGGCGCATTGTTAAGACCTTGTACATCAGGTAAACACATTAGTTAATCACGAAGATTTGTTGAAAACTTAAAAATTTTCTCACTCTTTAGTAAATGTTTCATTTGACCTATTCACCTCGTCATTAGATGGGCCCCAGTGCTAGTTAGTAAATAAAATAAAAAATTTCAGAAAAGAAAACAGCTTTAAAGCAATATTCTAACTTATAATAACTATAAACAATAGAAACGTTACTTACAATGTGTGAAAACTATTTGAGTGAGGAACATCTATAGGCGTAGATGGTGATGGGGGACCAAATAAGCTCATAACCGTTGGCCGAGATTCTTTTAATGACCTTTGAGACGTTATTGTTTGTTGTTCATCAACCTAAAATATAAAAAACGTTCAAGCTACATTAATGACGATTCAGAATTTGACGTGACTGTTAGAATATACTTTTTTAATAAATTGCGAAATACAAAATTAATTTTTTTCTACAGCTGATACTTTTGTACAGTCAGTCATTGGAAAATGCCAGGATATAATATCAAAGAAACGTTTTAAAAACAATTTCTTTAAATTTTTACCACGTACCTCTTCAATAACATCGTCTGTTATTTTTTTTATGCTTCCAGCTGGCTTTGGAAAAGACTGTGGTACTAAGTTGTTCAACTCGTTCGCCTCTACTTTGGCATCAGTCTTGCTTTCGTCTTTGCTGAAAAACCTTTTTAACATATTCGTCACCGAATTTTGTCTGGACATTGAATCTGAAACAAATAAAGAATGATACAAATCAAATGAAGAAACGGACTTTAATTGCATTATTTATTAATACCTTAATCTAAAGAGAGAGATATCAGACGAGGAGTACGACAAGGATGTATACTGTCCCTTTTCCTTTTTCATATGTCTTCAGAAAGATGTTTAAAGAGGTTGTTGTATAGTTGTTCTTCTCCTCCAAGCAGAGAACCAAACTTCTATAGTGGTTGATTATAACCACGGTGATTAACCAATCTTTGTCGTAGCAAAGTAGAGATTGATGTTAAAGAAATAGTATGACAGCGATTTAAGATTTTTATTTTACTTTAGCTCTCTTGATTTTACAACACACATGGGCAGAAAACGAGGTTTTATAGTAAATTTTAGGTGAGGGGAGATTTTCCGATCTTTTATGGCTCTACTTTTGTAAACTCAAAAAACAGCTATTAAAAAACCCTTTTGAGGAAATGTAAAATAGAACCACAAAGAAGGCAGGTGTTATAATTAGTATATAATATTGTTTTTTGTATGCTCTTAAGAACCATATAAGGAGCGCCGACCTGGTGGCGCCTCAGATATAATGTAAATAATAGTTCTTGAAATATAAAAGGGTCTGATTTATAAGGTAATCAATTTTTAAAAGACATTTAACGAAACTAAATTTTTTTATAATAAATAAACATGTTACAGAGCCGTAACAGAGGTACTAGAAGACGCAACTGAAGGCATATCAATTAATAGAACACTAGTGAATATTCTCAGGTATGGAAATGATACGATATATTTGCGGGTAGCAGAGAAGGGTACACAGTTTGGTTGATCGCACTATGCAGTACTGCGGGAGCTATGGAGTGGCTCTGAACACAAAAAAAATTAATCATGGTTGTCAGTACAAACAATGCTGAAGACGAAAGAATCTACGTTAAATGAAAGGCTTTAGAGAAAGTACCAGATATAACTATCTGGGATGTGAGGTAAATGAACAGTGGGACCGTAGCTTTAAAATAAAATGAGGCATTGAGCTGGCAGAAGCACTTTCAAAAGATGAAAGCAGTATTATGCAACTGAAAACTGGGAATAGGAATGTACAAAATATCATAGACACAACAATTGACAAACACGAAAACCTTAAAAAGGATGAATTAAAGAAAAGAAATACTCAACACTATTAAGGAAAGAAAAATGAGTTACTTTGGTCACACACTAAGAAATGGAGTTGATGTAATATTTAAGGAAAGGTGGAAGGAAAAAGCACCGGGAAGACGACGCACGGTTGAAAAATTTAAGACAGTAGAGTGGAAAAAAGGAAAACTCTTCAGAACTGCTGCATACAATATCTTTAAAGGATGAGGCACACATAAGAAGAAGAATTAATATTATTTATTGAGCACTGCTTAACTTATTTAATTCCTTTACTTACCAGGTACAGATTTTCCGATCAACGAACTCTGGGATCCTCTTGATCTAAACGAACGTGGCCTTGGCTTCGCGGAAAACGTTATGGGACCCCCATCCAACCCCGTCGCGTACGACTGCATATCATCCATTTTAGTTCCCGGATACAGAACGTTGTGAGGTGTATTAAGTTCTAGGTCTTGCGGCCTGGTTGCTATATTAGCGGTAGAAGGTAACGGATGGGTATCTCTGATGGCACGAGCGGCTTCTGTGTATGGCAATTCTTGTGGAAAAACTTCATCCCAGTATTGGTCTTTTACTAGTTCTGGGTGATCGTGGTGAATTTCGTCAACTATTAAATACGATACCTTGAAAATTAAATCAAAATATGAGTGCTACGACTAATTAAGATATTTATTAAATAGGTATATATGATACTTATACATCATAGCATACCTGAAGATTTCTATCTACCATCCAATTCACTTCGAAATCATCGTCATCGTCCCCGAAAGGGTTAATCATAGATTCAGCCACTTTCAACCAGCCGATGTAAAAGAAAAATTGTAAAGTAGTAAAAATTGGAAAATACAAATCGAATTTGTATTTGTTATCCTTGGTCCATTGGTGGGCCATTATATTCGTAATGAAATAACTATATACAGCTAATGTTACTACCTAAAAATAAAAATCACCTAAGTATTAAATGTTTTGCTTTATTTATACGGATGTTTACTAACATACTGCATTTTTTTATTTACCCTGTATAAAGTACACATCTTTCAAATATCTGAAAGAGTTTTTTATAAGAATCTTCAAACGAGAATAAACAAAATTTAAATGTTTCTTTTTAAGTTGCCTTGGTTTTGGTTAAATGCACTAAAAGTGATTTGGGTTGTTTTAGAACTGCGTCTTAAAATCATCGATTAGAATAAACAAAATCTAATCATTTATTTGCATTGGAAAACGTCGCTAGCAGAATTAAAAGTGCTGTTTACATTTGCCAGATGTGCCTCTGTCAAATGCCTCTAACCATAGCCCGTGGGGGATTTTACCATTTTTTAGCATCTCCTTCTCTCAGTTCTTAATGACATTGAAATTTATACGAACGGAATTTATTTCTTTTCAAAATTTTTAAGTCCGTGAAATTATGAACGTCAAACTGGTCTGCAAAGGGTCGAGAATATATTGTAGGGTTTTCAACTACTGCTGTACTACTACATTATTTTCGATTTGATTTTCAAAATTTCTTTGTACCTTAGCAATATTGTTTGCGCAAGTACAATTAGGAATTATAGTAGGAGTATTTTCACAAAAATTTTGAATCCTTCAAATTTTTAAATTGCTTGGAAATGGTCTATTGCGATATCTTATGCTAAAAAAAGAACTGATAGTTCGCGCACTATTGTCTGAATAAAACATCTTTATTGTTGCTACTTTCTCCTGAGCAGAGTACATAATAGGACATGGCGCAGTCAGTATGATCGAATTTGGGTCCGAATTAAATAAAACTTTACGTGTCAGAATTGTCATGGGAATAAAGAATTAAGAAAAAAATTATTCATTCCGAAAATTATGTTAAGAAAATGTGAAGCTTTGAACATTACCTTAGAATACAGAATCACGCCAGTATAAGGAACTAGTGGCGGATCTAGATATTTGCCTTGGGGGAACTTCCAATGAAACACCAGTCAAAAGACAGTAAAGATAAACCCAAACTACATAAATAGTAACTTATATTGATTGAATGGATTGAATTTGTTGTATGTGGTTGTACACTCGCGTACAAGACGATGTACCTCTACGCCCTATTGTGAGCTTCATAGGGTCTCCGTCTTACAGCCTTGCGAAATATCTGGCCAATATTTTACAATCACACATAGGAAAAACAGTTTAACAAGTTAGACGATGGCCGTGAAAGCCTAACGCAAATCTGTTGGAACCAGAGAAAATTGACTATGATAATGAAAGAAATAAGTTAGCAGTATTATGACCGAAAGACATCTAGCAGAAATGAATTTCTGAATAATGACAATGTATTCAGCCTGGTCATCGACCAAAATTATATCCAAAGTTGAAGACTTTCCTAGAAAAACAAAATAGAAATACGGTGCTAAGAAAAAGTGTAAATTGGAATCACTCAAGAAATAAATGTCGCCTATTCTCGAAAAAAAATGAATGTGTTCCATAATTTTGCCCCTCACTGTATAAGATTTAATTCAAAGAATAACCTTTTTATTTGCCCCTATCTTGGTGTGTACGCCAATGACATCTTAACTGATTATTTTATTAAATTTGATTAAATTATTCCATAATTTTGTCCGTCACTGTATAAGATTTGATTCTAAGACTAACTTTTTTATTTACCCCTATCTTGGTGTGTACGCCAATGACATCTTAACTGATCGTATTCAAATACACATCTATAGTTATGCAATACATCTTATCGAATTGTAAAATCCACATTACAAAATAAGTAAATGATCTGTTATCTATGCATTTAAATTTAAAAATATGTTAAAATATTACCTGAGTGTAAACTAATGGAATGTTAATGTGATCATAGGTTATCAGCAGTCCACATTGTCCTCGAAATTTATTGATTTCGTCTATGATCGTTTTAACCGCGAAATCGTCTCTGATCCGACCTTCTTTGCGGGCTCTGGTGACTATGCTGGAGGCCCAAACTAAAGGCAACCTACAAAAAAATCTATCTAAATTTATATTCATTAAGTATTATAGAACACATATAACAAGTCGTATACAGGAAAAAACTTACCAAATATCGAAAATTTGGTAAGAATTTGGAAAAGAACTAGCAGTTAGAGAAGATGAAAATGAACTCCTGCCCTTACAATTTTCGTAAATTGAACTCCTGGGGGAGCGAATGTGAATGCAGAAAACTTGTAAAAGTAGTTTGAGTGCGACGCTAGTGACACGGGATTTGAGAATCTAACGGATGAAGACATTCTAAGAAAATTCCGAAAAGAAAACAAAAAGGAAAGTGATGCAGAAGAGGAGTACGCCTGAAGTACGAGCGACTCACGAAGCGACCTTCTTCTTCTAGAAATCCTAGAGGATCTGGTACTCAAAAGCTCAAACATTTATGTTACGTAAAGTGTAATGTAGAATTAGGAAACACGTTATCCAATCAAATAAGTAGAAACAAGTGATAGACTACTTTCAAAAAGTGTAAAAAAATGTAAGTATACTGTTACGATAAAATATGACTCATGCCTAAACTGTAAACATTTTATTATTCTAACAAGTATTTTCTAGTAGATTATCCGACCCGCTAAAAACCTGTCTGGCTGTCCATCCTATTCGACCACTGTCAGAAAGGTTGACAACCGCTTCGAGAGAACTTATGAATAACGGCTATTTGATAAATATAGAGGAACTTTTTATTTAAAAGAGGGTTAGTTTTGAATAGTGGTATCGAGTTTGCATTGTAACGCGGAAATGTTGAATCGTGTAAATAGTGTAAATAAATTATTGTAAGATTTCATATAAATTAATAGACTTTAATAAACTAATTGTTAGATCATTTTATAATAAATAAATAAAGTTAATAAATTAGACTTATAAATACAGTTCAATACATTAAAAATTGTCAAAGACTTAGGTGAAACTAAATTTTTGTTTTTTGCTTTTATTTGACTTTCTTTAACCAGTTAGTCGCTCATCCGCGATTTTCATCATCCTCTACGACCGTGCCAATTAGCCCTACAAATAAACAGTAGTTGATCTTACTTTTACCAATATACTTATACTGCTTACTCGAGAGGATTCACTCCGCTTATTACAAATACCAGTAACTAATGAGTTGCAGATCACTATTAGATAATCAGATGAATGCGTTTAATATGTTAGTTAATATGCTAACGACTTACCAGTGCTTTGAATACTTCGGAAATTTAACATTAAGATCAGACATGATATCTTTCTCACTGGGTTGAAGTAAACCAGCCTCTACGAAATGATCTAAAGTAGGAAAACGTTTCTTAACTCTAGGAGAGATCATCGTGAATACCATCGTGACACACAGACACATGTACCGCATGATAGTTCTTCTCATTACCCTACCACGTTCGTCCTAAAACATATCAGCTATGTTAGCAGCAGTAAACTGATTATATCGGTCCGTCATAAAATGACAAAGGTATTCAATTTGGTGCTACAAGAAATATTAATAGTAAGAAACGAATATATTAACCCATTGGATGCCACAAGGATCACCGGCGGTCCTAACTAACAGATTACAATTGTGCTATTAGGATCACCGGTGTTACTTGTCCGTATTTAACTTTCAGAATTATTATAACGATCGGCACTGTGAGGACGCTCAAATAGTTATTGTGGCACGCTAGGAAGCCATAGCGCGCTTTTTGTTAGACGCCATAATGTCGTAAATAGCTTGTAACGACAGTCAAGAATAAGGCGTTGTAGAAACGATTAGTGGCATTCATTATCAAGTTTTCAAGAGAAAAACTGTTCGCTGCTACCACAAAGCTGCAATTAAAGTTTTATTGAATACGGCTGTCATAAATAGTTTAATAATATATAATTCCTTCAATACTCCAAAACAGAATCTCATTTCTCAACAGTTATCTCATTTCGGGATATGCTAATGTTTAGTTTAGTCAATTAGTTAGGTGTCTGAACCTATTACTACTGTAAAGCATATGCTTGTTACAGTTAACGCCAAAACTACAAACAATAGGAAGAAGAGAAAACTTTGTAACCAATGTCAGACTGAAACAGTCGCAACAAAAGGCAGTAAAGAAACTCAAAAGGATCACAAACTTTTTTCTACATTTTGTAATGTGACATGTTTCACTAAAAAGCATTAAGTTGTTCAAGATCACCGGTGATACTAGTGGCACATACGCATGCAATATGTTATCGCAATGCCATTAGGATCATCCGTGATCTTGCTATTATTTAAAAAAAAAATTGTAAGACTGTAAACTTACTTTGTATTATTCACCATTTGAATTATCAATTATCACCCTTGTAATATCAAATTCTCACTAATTTGTGCGTTTTATTGCTGTATTTGTTTGTATAATGTGTTTAAGATAGATTATATGTTTGTATATTCTGTGTTGCATATGTATTGTGCATAATTGTAGATGTCAGCGACTTCCTGTAATCCACTTATTGATATGTTCTCAACCAAATCCTGCTACATTCTGCCGATGGGATTCCTGCACATTTTTCTTCATTAAATAGGATGAGAGCTACTTCTTTGATTTTTTTTCTTTTCCATGTCTGTTTCATGATTACTGGTGCATCTTTGAATTGTACTCTGTGTTCGTTGTCCCAGGCATGTTTGCATATCTGGGCTTTGTCGAAGCCTCTGTTCTTAATGTATGTTTCATGCACGTTTATCCTGACACTTAGTGGCCTTGAGGATTCTCCTACATATAAATTATTACATTCACAGGGTATTTTATAGATGAAGTTCTTTAATTTTTCTTGTGTTATTGGGTTTAGTTTTGGACAGCATAGATCTGTGTCGGTTGTTCTGAATGTTGTTGTGATGTACTTATTTCCTATCCTTTTTAATTTTTTGGATTTTTTGGATTTTAAAACGGATCTAAAATATTTTTATTAGCAAACGTCAGAAACGTCAAAAACACCAAGCAAATTAATTTATTTATCGTATGACACTTAACACATTTACATTTACACGTAAATTTACATATATTTTGTATAAAAGATAATACATATATTAACAAAAGAATAAATTCTTCTTCTTACGGTGCCTATCCGTTCCGGATGTTGGCGATCAACATATCTATCCTAACTTTGCTTGCTGCTATTCTGAATAGTCCGGTTGTCGATGTGTTAAACCACTTTCTCAGGTTTTGAAGCCAAGATATTCTTCTTCTCCCTGGTCCGCTCTTTCCAAATACCTTACCCTGAAGAATGAGTTGCAACAAGCCGTATCTCTGTTCATTCCTCATAACATGGCCAAGATATTCTAGTTTGCGCTCTTTGATGGTGTTAATAATCTCGCATTCCTTGCCTATTCGAGTTTTCTTAAAGAAGCTTCGGAAAGCTTTCAGGCCTCTACTCCGTATGATAACGTAGAAAATACATAGCATCTAATAAGAGAGATTTTGGTAGCAAGTGGTAAATCTTGACTTCTGAAAAGAGACTTCATCATTATGAACGCTGATCTCGCTTTTCCTATGCGTTGTTTTATTTCACTGGAGTGATCCCATTGGCTGTTAATGTTGGTACCAAGGTATGTGTAGCTGTCCACTCTGTCAATTGGATGTTGATAAACCAAAAGCTGTGTATTTAATAATTTGCGCTTACTGACTACCATGTACTTTGTTTTCTTCGTATTAAGATCAAGTCCGTGTTCTCTACTTATATCTGATATACGCGACATTATTCTTTGCAAACCATCCAGACTACTTGCAAAAACTACTGTGTCGTCGGCATATCTAATGTTGTTTAGACGCATTCCGTTGTCTAATACGCCTTCTTGTAGTTCTCCCAGCGCTTGCTCGAAGATATATTCAGAGTATATATTAAATAACATCTGGGACAGAATGCATCCTTGCCTCACTCCTCTATCTATGAAGACTGCCTCTGTCAATTGGTCATCCACTTTAATATTGGCTGTTTGGTTGTAATATAAATTATAGATGATTCTCAAGTCCCTATCATCTAACCCCACTTCTTTCAAGATGTTTATAAGTTTATCATGCTTTACTCTATCAAATGCCTTTTTGTAGTCGATAAAACAAAGATACACATCACAGTTAACATCCCTGCATCTTTTCATAAGCACTTGGACAGCGAATAGAGCCTTTAGGGTGCCTAAGGAATCGCGGAATCCAAACTGCGTCCATCCATGATACTTGTTCTTCGCATTTTTTATATATTCTGCCGTGTATCACTTTTAAGAAACGTTTTAAGTAAGTGGCTCCTTAGGCTAATTGTTCTGTAGTCTTCGCATGTCTTGGCATTTACTTTTTTTGGCAAGGTCACGAAGGTCGACTTTAACCAGCTTTGGGGTATTTTTCCAGTTACGTATATGTTGTTGAATACAGTTGCTATCCATTTTAGTCCCTGTTCATCCATAAGTTTTAGGAATTCTGCACAAAACTCGTCAGGCCCTACCGCTTTACCATCTTTAGTTCTTTTAATAGCTGACGTGACTTCTTCAATGGTAATCGGGGGTCCTGTTTGGCATCTAGAACAAATATCTAACTTATTTGTATAGTCTATAGACCTGCCTGATAGGATCTTGTGAAACACTGTGGGGCACAGCGATGTACAGGCTAAAGAGAAGAGGAGCTAGGACAGATCCCTGAGGCAGTCCATTCTTCAGTTTTCTTGGGGTGCTGATGTCGGTTCCCATGACTAGTTGAATCGTTCGGTCGGCTAGCATGCTTGATTATTCGAGCAGTAGATTTACAGGAGATTGTAAGGAAGAGTTTGTATATCATGCCTTCTCTCCAGACTATATCGTTGGGCGCTGTTAGGTCTATGAATTCGGCTGCAGTTTTAAGTTTTCTCTAGAACCCTGCCTCAATAAATGTGGTAAGTAAAAGAGCCTGATCCGCGCAGCTTCTTTTCAGTCGGAAACCCAACCGGTATTGATTCAAGTAGCTTTGGATTAATTCTGTTGTAGATAAATCGTTCTAGTAGCTTGAACGTCGCCGATAGTAGGGCTATTGGTCTGTAGTTCTTAGGGTTGTTATCATTTGGTTTCCCTGGTTTTAATATGGCACTGACATTCGAGCGTCTGAGTTCCTGTGGTATAGTTCTGGTCTTCATAATGTCCGTGAAAAAGTGGGCCATCCATTATATCGCGTATTTGCCACTGTTAATTAAGAATTCGGGATGAATATTGTCAAAACCTAGGGCTTTACCTGGCTGAATATGCTTGAAAACTATAGTGACTTCTTCGCAAGTGAAAGGGCGGGAGTATTCGGTTTCTGTATATTGGAATTTTAAGGTTTTAAGCTCTCGTTTTACCTTGATTGTGTGTGGTTTGTCTTTCGGAGCCCTAGATGTCGATACCAGATGTGAGACAATAGTGTTTCGCTTAACAAATGGGTCTTTAAAACTACGAAAAACATTTTACGACATCTCTGCCTCCTTGACAGATAGGTTGCTTGAATATTGGAAAGCTTTTTAAAGAGGTTCATACAATATTAAATACTCACACGGACAATAATCTGTAAGTAAACCATATTGTGGTATCCCTACGGGGCATTCGATAGAACGTATAATTGTATAACCTTATAATTGGTTTATTTATCGTTTTTCTGGTTAAAGTGTTTAAATATGCCACCAAATCTAAATATGTACACTTTTTTATTATCATAACGAGTAAATTAAATGATATTGACTATCGTATTAAACGTTATTACTTCAAACTGCTTCCTGTTTTTGCCAGAGTGCTTTGTGTGGTTTATTCATTGGTCTTATTTGATTACGTTCAGTTTAGCGCATTAATAAATTCTTGAAGAGTACCAGTTTATTAATAGTTATGACTAGTTGAGAAAATGGAAAACATAACCTTGTTTTACTTACGTGCCCATGTACAGTGGCGCTAACAAATACGGCTACTGGATCCGGATGTGGAATCGCCCTGTATTGACTCCACCATCTGTTCATCACGACGGTGACATAAAAACCTAACACGAACGATAAAGGTATCAAATTCGCGTAATCATCACAGTATTGAACGATATTCTGGAAAATCCTAAAAATAAAAAATGTTACCTTGACAGTAATTAATTAATTCAACTGATCTGCTAATTAGGCAATAATTGTAGTGATAATTCACAGTGGGAATGTCATATCACTTCTGGGAATTAGAAATTCGGTTAATTAGAGTGAAACGTGTCAATGTTTTGTCTCCGAAGCGTTGTTTAATGTTAAAATAACGCCAATTTTGTTGATATAACAGTGTGTCCTTAATGTAACGACCCTCAATATAACGGTTTCCATGATTTAAAATATTTTTCAAAATCCCTTGAACTGTCCTTAAGAGCTAATGTAAAATAAACCTTTTAGACCAGGGCCGACGCCTTTGAAAATGGTAAAAAGTAAAAAAAAACTAGTAACAGTATGTAACCCATGGTAAAAGGAAGAAAATATACCAAAAATTAAAGGAAAAATAATTTATGGACGATCTGAAGAAAGAAAACTGGATGTCATCAAAATGACTAGAAATCGAACAGCTTCAGGAAAAATACGACATCTTTAATATTCATAAAACAGTAAAAGAAATGACAGGTAGACACGAAAAGAGGCAAACAACAATATTAAAAAATGATAACGAAATAATTATGGGTATAGAAGACAAACTAGAGAGATGGAAAGAATACACACAAACTCTTTTTGACGACGATAGACCTTGTTCTCCACCATCCACAGATAATCGAATAAATGAAAAAGGCCCAGAAATAACCAAAGAAGACGTGATTCACGCAGTAAAATCTCAGAAAGATGGAAAAGCCACAGGTCCAGACAATATCAATGTCGAAATACTAAAACTAATTGCAGATAACGAAAATAAAAGCCTACACTTAATAACAGCACTATTCAATAAGATATATGACACAGATAAAATACAAACAGATTGGCTAAAATCAACATTCGTAGTATTACCAAAAAACTCGAATTATTCACAATGCGATGATTATCGAATATTAAGCTTGATGTCTCGTAATCTTAAAACTTTTCTCAGAATTATCCATACACGAATTTACAAGAAGTACGAGGTCCAGATGAGTGACACTCAATTCGGATTTCAAAACGGATTGGGAACATGAGAGGCTCTTTTTGCTTTAAATGTGTTAACTCAACGATGCAGAGACATGAATATAGATGTATATGCATGTTTTATTGATTATCGAAAAGTATTTGACTGCGTTAACCATTAAAAGATGTTCGAAATTCTGAAAACAACTGGAGTTGACGAACACGACTTGCGAGTTATTTCAGAACTGTACTGGTACCAAACGGCAACAATTGAAATAAAGCACACAACATCCGAAGATATACAAATCCGACGAGGAGTGAAACAGGGTTGCGTCTTATCATCGCTACTGTTTAATTTGTATTCGGAGTTTATATTTAGAGAAGCATTAGACGAGGTCCAAAGCGGAATTAAGATTAACGGAATCAGCATAGACAACATCAGATATGCAGATGATTCCGCCTTAATAGCAAGCAACGCACAAGAACTACAAAATACAATAAATGCGGTAGTTCACCACAGCGAAATGTTCGATTTACATATAAACGTTTCCAAAACTAAAACTTTAGTATTTTCAAAGACACCAATAAACGTACATGTGTATGCCAAGGGTCAAATGATAGAACAGGTAAATTCCATAAAATATTTGGGAGTAAATATCAATAGTCAGTGTAATCCAAACAAAGCAATACTATCAAGAATCGAACAAGCAAGGAAAACGTTCATGAGCATGAAAACATTTTTTACAAGATCAGACCTTAGTTTGCAGCTTAGAATCCGAATGATCAGATGTTACGTTTGGAACGTTACGTGTAAAGTTGGACAATGGACTCTAAAATAGAAAAAAGAATAGATACCTTTGAGATGTATACAGTGCGTTAAGTTTTTGATTAGGTATTGCATACTATACGTAGCGCTAAAATCAGCAACGCTGCAAATGTTCGTTCTCCGACTCGAGACTATCTGCACCGACAGAAAATCATTTTAGTTTAGTTACTCACAACAACGTTTGGGATGTACTTCTCTGTCGTCCGATCTCATGTTTCATTACGTATAGCCGATTTTAATAGTAGGAAATTCGATAAAAATGCACTGACCTAATCGGTGCATTATTATAGATTTTTATTAATGTGAAAATTTTTTTGTGGTTGAATTAAAAATAAAAGCTTATTTCTTTAAAAAGATAAAATAAAAAAGATACTCTTATTGAAAATTAAAATATTCCTAATAAAATAAAAAATAATTCTTTATGACCTACAGAAATGGTACAAATAGTTGACCTTCTACGGCTGAACAATATCCCAATCTGTCATAAAAACTCCTGCGAACAGATGAAAGAGTTTCTGCTGTAACAGAATTGGAGACTTCTCTTATTCGATTTTTTAATTCATCCAAATTTTGGGCTCTAGCCTCAGGATGATCGTAGATAATGCTTTTTAAATGTCCCCAAAAAAAGAAGTCCATGGGTGTAAGATCTGGAGATCGCGCAGGCCACTTAATATCGCCTGTTCCACTGATAACTCGATTCGGGAAAGTATTGTTTAAATACTCCCTAATAATTCTGTAATGATTTTGTAACCTCTAAAATCGAGGTATACTCTAGTATTCAAGTTGCCCTCAATAAAAAATGGACCTATTATGTGGTCTTCTAAAATGCCAGTCCAGACGTTAACTTTTTGAGGACGTTGAGTTCGGTAAACAACACTTCTGTGCTGGTTTTGTGTCTCCCTACTAACGAAACAGAAGATTCATCAGTGAATAAAATGTTTTTAAAAAAATTTGGTTCACTATTAGCCTTCGTTATTAGAGTTTCACAAAACTCCATTCTTCAAAGGTAATCGTCTAGATAAAGCTGCTGCGTTTTCGAATATTTAAAATTCTTGTAACTGTGCTTTTTTCATACTTTCGTTACAGTAACATTGCTAACATCTAATTCTCTAGCAACGCTTCTACTTGAACGTGTTGAATCTACCTCGATTGTTGCACAAATTTGTGTATCCCGGTATTCTCTTTCCTCAACTTTTTCTGGTAACACTTCTTGAGCGTGACATTTTCTGCAATTTTTGAGGCAATAACAACTCTCAAAATTTTTAACAATATTATAAATTGACTGTACACAAGGAATTGGTCTTCCCTCAAAAAACACAGAAAATAAATCTACACACTGTTGCGCAGAATTGCCACTATAAAACCATTTTATTATTTGAGCTTTTTCCGCGGCCATATAAACAGACATGTTTACAAAAATAAATTAAAACTCTACGCTGTTATACCTTTAACCAACCACGGTATAATGACAATATGACAAATTTGCCGACGGGCGACGAGCAACGACGAGTCAACGAAGCAGATATGTAGTGGCAAGTCGACGACGCGCAGTGTTGCCATTTATAGAGTGTATAGCTAATCCAAAACTTACCGCGCTGTATATACAGAAGAATGTTAAGAATTCCATTTGTGCAAAGAGTTACTAATGTTGAGGTACTTCGTCGAATGTGTAAACAAAAAGAATTACTAAGAATAATCAAAGAGAGAAAAATGCAATACTTGGGCCATGTGTTGAGAGGCGAAATATATGAATTACTTTAAGTTATACTGGAAGGAAAAGTACAGGACAAAAGATCAGTAGGAAGACGCCAGAATTCGTGGCTGAAAGACCTGAGGAGATGGTTCGACCGCTCATCCGCAGAAATCTGTCGCGCAGCAGTTTCCAAAACTACGATTGCCATTTGGGTCTCCAACCTTTGAAAGGAGACGGCACCATGAGAAGAAGAAGACGAAGACAACAGCACATGCAGCTCCTCAGACTCTTGAGAAATTTAAATGGTAAAAAGAACATATTTTTATGCTTTGATGAACTTATGACAATGATACTTTATTCAAAATGTTCACTTTGTTATGCAACTCTCAGTTAATGACTATTTTATTTTAGTACATTTTTCTTAAATCGAACATTAAATTTTGCTCACATTGATTAAATTTCAAGAAATTCTTACACTAATAGTTTCAAAAGTAAATATTTTTAAAAATCATATGATACACCTCAGTACGACCCTGTTTGGCTTTGACGTGCGTTTGTTGACAGTTGGGGATATGTAAAATAAATGTAGTTTAGAAAACGTTATGTTCAATTTTAGTAGATTTTTTCAATTCAAGTTTACATAACACTCTGTATTCTTCCTTTTCGTGGGTTGGTAAGAATTGAGATATTTTCTCCACTGAGCTTATTATCTCTAATTTTGGAACGGATGGCTGAGTAATAGCAAAGTTTAGACCCTTTGACAGTATTAAATTCTCCGTTGCATTTAAATGTCTAGTTGATAGATTGACAACTGTCGCTAATATGTCATCATTTCTATTGAGGTTATCTAAAGTGTGTATACTGTTTTGTTCTAAAAGAATATTAAATTTATTTAAATGTATATTTCTTTGTTTTCTATATGAATTTTCATATACTATATGTAAACTAAAAATAATTTGATCAAAATCAGAATTTGATATCACATTGAAAAGCAAATCTTCAATACTTACAATATCCTGTTCAACAAAAAATAAATTCGATCTATGATATTGTAATCTTTCTCGGATCATGAACAAACTCTCTATGTAGAATGTTTTCCAACCTTCTGCTTGAATATGCTGGACGTAACTTCAAGTCCTTTGGTATTAGGTTGTTACCTCTACATCTTCGTAAAAATTTAATTGAGTTTTGACAGTGTGCCAGTTTCTTGTATAGAATTTCCAATATCCGAAATTTACTGTTTGTATTTTGAGAACGATTTCCGAAGTGGAAATTGAAACTTCAATAAACGTATTTTTATCTTTAATTGTGGCTTATTCACAGTTAAATAATAATTAATTTAAAATGCCACAAGAAAATAGCTTCAGAAGAAAACGTTATGTTAAGGTACTGACCGACAGGCGAGAAAAAGTGCGGTTTTATAGCTCGTCTGAAAGCTGAAACCTGGACATCTGCTCGTCACTGTCATATTTTTTACTTGGCTCACGTAAAACCGCGTGTCGATTTATTTTATTTATTGTGTGATTCTTCAGGCATCCTCAGATAATTTCTGTAATCAAGTGGTTCTACAAATAATTTTAGAATTAAATGGGTGTTAAAACAATTCTTGCCTTCATTCTATTCAATTTTTAACCGAAACTCTAGGTAGCTTTCGCTTCTTTTTCATTATTTCGCGGTGTGCTCTAGCGAAATAGCACACAACTTCAGATTACGAGCAAGACATGCTTTACATTAATGCTTTTTCAACCATGACTGTTTTGCTTCCGACGTTCTCTAAAACCGCGGTATACAGATTGAACGACATAAATTCGGAACATACGAAATATTATGTATTTCGGCTCAATTCTGTTGTAGGTGGTTGGCCAACAAAAGGTTGTCAAATAATTATATTATAAAAATCCAATACTTCAGCGGGCTGCTGGATTCTGAACTAATTCAAGAACTCATTCATAGGTGGTCAAACCACCTATTGCTTCCTAAAGCCGGCCACTCACGGTACACCGACATAATCGGACAGAGGCGTTGTTCAATTTGTTGGTATATCTGGGGCGCCCACACACCATACTGCGCCGCAGTATTTGTTCGGTTCTGGACCATGTCAAATCAAACAATCATTTTAGCATCTCTTACTTTGTGTATAACTAAGCGTAAAAAGAAACCTAAAATAAAACGTAGATTCTGATGCAAAGAATCCAATATTTTGGTGCAAAATAAATCTCGTCTGCCCCTGCACCCGATTTACTGGACTGCACTGCTAATTTTAATTCTCTTTTATAGGATGTTCTAAAATTGTTAATTTTTTTTCTTACATACTCTTCATCCGCATCTTTGTTTACTTCTTGAAACTTTAAAACTAGAATGTCCATTGCCTGTTTTCGGGCGTTTCTATCGTGATACGTTTTACCTTTTATTCGCTATAAGCATTCTTGTTTTTTATATAATTTAAAAAACTCTCTTAAAAATTCTCGCTAAATCAAGCCTTTTCGATTTTCTATAATATGATCAAAGCAAGTAGTTAAAAACGCAGTTGAACAACGCCGCTGTATCGTGAGTGGCCGCCTTTAGGCAAGCCCCTCTTTCGTTTATCGGAGATGGAGATTTTGGGCGGTGTTGCCAATATCATTCCACTAGATGTTTCTAAAATAACTACAAACTTCTGAAATAACTACAAACCATTAAGTTTATTTTTGTTATTAGTCTGTTGTAGTAGATTGGTAAATACAATGAAAAATATAGGCAAATATCCGATTTATTTAAAGATACGAAGAAGATATAACTCTCAAAAAGATCCGCAAATCGGATTATTACACGGCGATTGGCAACATTGACTTTGAGCTGCGCTCTAGACTATGGTGGGTTCTAAAAGGAGACGGATAGTTGAACGATATTTTATACAATGTCTAACACCGGGTATGGATTTATTTTTGTCCAAATTTTATATTGGTCCACTATTTCAAATGTAGTTCAAACAGACATATATTAAATTGTATAATCCGTTTTAAATTCGTTCAATCTGAAGACTCGTACGTCTATCACCCCGTTTAAAAGTTGCAACGACTGCATTCATGTTAAAAAATGTTAAAATGATCGAAAAAATGTCGAATATTGTTTTATGAGCAGTAAAAGGTTTATATTACGAAATAAGAGATTAGATTAAAAGCTTATAGTAACATAATTGGAATTTAAAGAATTTATTACAGTTATTATATGGATTTTTCCAAATTTTTATCCCTTTTTTGTATAAGTTGAATATTAACCAACCTACAATTATTTGATATTAAAAAAGAAATAAAGCATTCCTTTGGAAATGACGCATGTGCCATTTCCATATAAATATCGCATCAGCCATGACTGTAAGGTTTAATGCTTGTAATAACGGGAAAACGGTACATTTAACATTTATTACTACATACTACTAAGAATATTTTTAGCTAAAAACTTACACTTGTCCAGAGTCATCTAACATAAATCTGTATATTATATTTAAACCATAGTATATAGCTAAGAATAGTAGTAAGTCGAGCCATACTAATTTGTAGAGACTGCCTCGCCATCTGCAATAATAAAAAAAGTATAATTAAGAGAAGTAACAGAATAAGATCTTATGCTATCAACGAATGTCTGTATAAAAAGTCTTTTAAAAGTATCCCAATTAATCCAACTGTAGCTATGGAAAATACTGATCTTTTTGAAGACTCGGATCAATGGATCTGGATGGCTAGAGACCGGCGACAGCAATCCGGGTCTCGGTTCATGTGGAGGATCTTTACGCATGCAACTACCGTCTAGTCAGAGGCGTGCTAAGGCTAACCTAGGCACGTGCTTAGAGCCTTTAGTTCAATGTTTCACATACGAAAAATCATGTCAATTTTTTGCTGTATTAATTACTATCATTTTACCACAATTTTACAATCATTACCCTACTCCAACCCTTCTTATACCATTTCAACCCTCCTTCCTTTAGAAATACAGACAGGTGTAACATAGCAAACAAGAAGACGGCCTCTTGCCTGTTGTCTATCGCTAAAAACAGAAGCAGGCCTTCGCCTGCCTCTAAATAACTCTCTCTCTCTCTCTTCCGCTTATAGTTACGCGAAAAATACTGCAATACTGTTTTAAATCGTGTACAGACGCAAATGTGCTCTATCTCGTGATCTCAGTGTTAGTACCACGAGACACGTGTTCAGAAACCAGTACACGGGCAGATTCCCCGTATGAAGAACAACCGCGAGTGAAAGCCTGTAAATACTTCGAGTGTGTGTGTAGCAGCAGAATTGGTAAGACTTTGTATAAACTTAATTTGCTACAATCTATATAACCCTTTGTAATACAGTCCGCATACACTGAAATTATAGTCATAATTTCACATATGTACACCATTTTTGTACACCTTTTATAATTGATTTTTATTTTTATTTAACAGAATAGCTTGATATTGAATATATAAATATCCATCAAAATCAATAAATAGATCTTTGGAATCATCTTCATACGATTCAACGAAGGTCCAAACAAATCACAAGAAAATTATCTATTGCCTCCTTATTTAGAATAATTATTAGCTAGTTAAAAGAGATTGGTTGATTTATACTGAAACCAACAACCTATTGTACTGCTATAGCTAATGGATTTTGACAAGAGCTATGACCTTGTAAATAACAGGTAAACTTGTGTACTAAATCGGCATGACTCATAGCTCTTGCCAAAATACATTACCTTTACATCTCTAAATTATTTTCCAAACAACGCTAATGACAAAAGGAGCGAATGATTGGAAAAATGTACATAAAAAATTGTCAGCGCATGAAAACTCCATTGTAGGTTTTTACATTAACTACATTAACATGTTGTACATTAACTTCATTGTAATTTTTATAACAAAATCTTAAATTACCGGATGCATTGACACTGAACTGGAAAAACAAATGATAAACGAAAAAAAATATTGGAGGGAAGTACTTAAAAGTGTAGTAGCGACAATCAAATTTATTTCTTTATACTCTTTAGCGTTTCGTGGTATAATTAAGTGTTTTTACTGAAAATAATGATAATTATATAGGTATTTGGCATATTTATCTAAGTTCGATCCATTTTTTCAAGTACACATGAAAAATATAAAAACTGCGTTACCAGTACTATACACTATTTATCGTGTTCAATATGTCGTGACGAATTTATTTCTATTATATCATTAAGATTTACATCTCATAATAGTGAATAAAATAAAGGAAGTCAAATTTTACTCTTTTATTATTGATTTAGCACCTGATATATCTCACGTAGATCAGCTAACCGTGATTATGCGCTATAATTAATAAATATATAAATAAAACTAATAAACTAAAAGATAACGATTTCCATTAGATCTAGGATATGGACCAAGTATATCAGCATATAAAAACTGAAAAGGAAAATTAATATCACGATATTATCCCATAAGACCAGCTGGAGGTAAGTTACTAGGCTTGCAAGAAGCACAAACTTTACATTTATGAACATAGTTCACAAAAAAAATCTCATTTTAGGCCAGTAATACAATTCTGAAATTTTAGAAAGGGTTTTAAATGAGCAACTAGGATCATCATGATAAATTTGCAAAATTTCCTTCTTAGGTGGAGAAGGAACAAAAATTTTCCACTCTGGAGCAGAATCAGAAAACTTTGAGCTAGAAAAAACATGTTTATAAAGGACATTATCCTGAACCTTAAAATCAGGATATAAGTTAGGATTATCTGTAACTTTTGCTATCATATTACTATACCAAGCATTAACTTTTGCTATCATATGCTTCAGGAATTCTTCAGGAAGCAGATGCTTCAGGAATTCTTCAAAGAGAGTCAGCTAGTATATTTAAAGAACCACTACGATGAACAACAGTAAATTTGTAATAAGACTGTTTAATTATCCATCTGGCAATTCTATGAGAATGATTCTTCATGATATCTATATATAACCACTGTAATGATGAGTGAACTGTAATAACAGTAAATTTATCACTACCTTTAATATAGCATCTAAATTTTTCAATTGATAACAAAATTGCTAACAATTCTTTCTCAGTAGTTGCATACTTTCGCTGAGCTCTTGTAAAGTTTTGGTGAAGTAAGCAATAGGATGTTCTAATCGCGCTAAATGTGTAACGATAAGACTACCGAAGAGAATTGAAATATTATTATAAAAATAATACCTCAATCAACCATGGGAGCTTAAACCATGAACCATTAGCTGATAGCAAATAAAACAATTACTTAACTAATCATATTTATTAAAAATAAGAAATAATCAACAATAATTTACAATAAATAAATTTGGCGATACTTATGGCATCGATGGGTGATTGTGTGCCCTCCCAATTAGACGGTTAGGCCATTCTGACAGCTGCAGTTAGGTCTTCCAGAGTATGTTATTCCATATTATTATTACATACAATATTCAGAAATTTCCCATAAAATCTCAAGTTTTCTATACAGCCAATAAAATCTATAATAATACCGATTAAGTGGTAATACAGCCAATAAATCCAAGAGAATTCTGCAGACCATAAAATGAAGCTTATAATAATTCCTACCTTCTTTTATAAATTTAGATTCCTGACAAAAAATAATCCCACCACGTTTAGAAAAATTAATTGACAGAATGTATGGAGACTAAAATGATGTTTGCACAGATGACATAAGACGTATGCCTATGATGGAATTGGCTCCTCTGTCAACATAGAACAGAATATTTAGTCGACCGGACAGAAAGAGAGAGAGAGAAGGAGAGAGAGAGAGAGAAGGCAAATATTTATTCTACCGGAAAGAAAGAGAGAGTGAGGGCACCAACTACTTTTTGAATAAAAAAAACTAGTAAAAACGAAACTGAAGGTAAAGGAATTAATAAATTAAAGATGTGACGTTTATAACGTTACAAAGGCTCATCTGACTTATTAATGTGGCTAGTTTCAATTACTTTTTAGAAGATTTTCACTGATGATGATCTCACAGGATCGAGGACGTTCTGAAAATTTATAAGAGTTATTAAAAAACTATTAATTATGACAAAATGATTGACAGAAAAAAACATTGAGTTTTGCAGAATTAAAAATGAGAAAAGAAGGCAATATAACAAATCAATCTGGGTGTATTGGTTGTTTATTTATTTAATACTTAATTTATGTATATTGATTACATTTATTAGTATGTAAATATTATTTTGTAACATGATGAGGTTATATTTCAATAGGAAATATAGCTCAATTTCAAATATATTAAATTATTTGATGATTTTCCATCATTATTATTAGTGATAACTCTATTATTCTGAGAATGAATAATAGACAATTATTCGCACACTAGACAGTTACTCATCGTCAGACGTATGTAATTTTTATTTTTTTTTACTATTAATTAGACTTGCGGTATAAATAAACCGTGTTTTTGGCAACATCCTAATATTTTCCGCTTGTGGTCAGAGATGTCGGTTTCAACAGTTGTCCACATATAGAACAAAGAAAATGTATTTTAAAATCAAAATGGAATTATTCACTTACTGCTTTTTTTGGGTGCAACAATTTATTGTTGGGAAAAGACCGAAATAAATGTGCGGTATTAGCATGAAAAGAAAGTATTGGTTCTCGTTTTAGAATATTCCGTTCAAACGTCAATGGTTTTTCGCTTTACGTACAAAAGACGAAAAACCTTTGTCTTGCTTGTTGAACAATATAATAGCAGATTATACGATTTGTCACTTTAATTTTAATACATAGAGTGCCATCATGTATAAAAAAATAGATAGGCATATATTTGAAATAGAAATAGTAATGACGAAATGGGCGTTCAATCCCACAGAACTACTAAAAATTATTCCAATTCAACATAATTACAGTAGTTAAATTGCTGATATACATATGAAGTAATGAAATGGTTTTGAGTACCACACCTACTCATTATTAACCAATTGAATGACAATTACGGTCAGTAACGCAATATTATATATTGGAATATAACCATTTACAATTTAAAGAAAGTTCCATAACGATATCTATGTAGAATATAGTAATGTAGACACATCAAATTGGTTTAAGAAATCAGATAACCGTATAATATATATTAGATTATCTAGTATTTATTTACATTTATTACATACTGCATAATAACTGATTTTCATTTAGAGATGTAGATTTCTTCCTTGGTTTTTAGAAGATGTAATTCTGAATATGCCAGTTTTGTTCCATATTAAAATAATGAGGAACAGTTAAAAGAGATCTAGCAGAAAAAAACAACACAACTCAAGATACAAGCAAAATGCAAAAACCCAAGCATGTCCTAAAGCAGCTTGCAGAACAACGCCAAAGGATATGTATACCAAGGAATATCATCAAAATTCATGGGTGTACGGGTATGTGAAAACAGTAAAAGATATGTATACCTATTGAAGTACAGCTTATTTCAAATCATGTGGTGAGTCCTTCTACGAAATAGTTAATCGTGCAGACAATAGAATATCTATGATCAGACCCATGCAGTGGCGTTGCAATATTAAACAAATTAAATTATTTGAAATCGTACCAAAT